GGAGTTCGCTTCGTTGCAGCATGCCGCGTCGCTGCACTCTTGTCTTGGCATCTGACTCCAACAAGGACGTGATGACTGCGGGGAGCCCGTCGCATGGCCATGGCAGCCCAGATGCGCTAGAAGCGCAAGCAGCGCCCGGAGCTGCTGAAGCAGCAGATCCTCAGATGGCTGAGGCTTGCGTGCCACACATTTCAGAATGCCTGGTCGCACGTTATAGGGCAGTCATGCTTGTCGCTGGGGAAAGCGTTTTTGGGAGAATAAATTCGGGTCAGGATGTCATCAGGGCTTTCAGCGTATTTGAAGCAAAAACCCAAAATCTCCATCTCATGAATACGTCCGCGGACAACAAAATCAAACCTTGTTTGCAGATTAGGAAACCCAACACCCATACCCCTTTGAAATGCTATTGCTCACAGGGAAAACCTAAGAACGTTTTCTCCCCATCTTCTGCTGCATTCCAGAAAAATTTGTTGACGCTGCGCGAGCTCACTTGAGGTTAAGCACGGCCAGAATTTGCCATATCTGATTGCGTGGAACTTCCCTCCTCGCGGCTGCTTGCGCACCCCATGATGGTCCTGCAGTGTAGTCTGCAGTCGCTGCAACATTTTGCTTGGCAAATATGTTCTCGCATGATCCGCCTTCAAGATGCTTTGTTGGAGCTACCGAGCCGATGCGAGCTGCGCGTGATGGGACTAGTGAAGCCATCTCATGCCGATGCCCTCAAGAGTCATACGGGTAACCAGTAGCTACAAGAAAGTTTGTGGGACAATCATAGCCCGTTGAGAGTTATTCATTATCACATAGTATCACCCTCACCGCGCTGCTGATGTGCATCCCGATAGCTATACTTGGAAAGAACCGTCCCATCCTTCCTCAGACATTGGGCCAGGCTGGAAGAGCGTGCCACTCTGCGCACGGTGAGGAAGAGTTGCGGAATGGCGTGCAGCCCAACGCGGACGTGCTCCTGCCTCAACACCAGCAGCCGGAAGATGTCTAGGTCTGGAACAGCAGCCAGTTGCAACGCAGAGGCCACCGGATGGCAAGCTGGCTGCTGATGACGCACCCTTGGAAGGCCGAGAAGTGCTCCCACCGTTTTGTTGCTTCACAGCAGAACCACGAAGAAGGCAGTTCTATCAATTGGATGCACTGGTGAACACATGGCGGAAGAAGTGCTGAGATGTAGAGTGTATTCTGCACGTAGACGTTCAGGGATTTAGATGGTAGGCATCGACCGAGTGTATTGTACAGGGTTTGTAGCAGGATCTCAATTGTTGAGGTAGTCGTTTCTGCAGCTAGTTCAGGCGGTGGCATCATGACAATCACAATCGGAATGCGTAGAAGCAGCAGCGCCCAATGCAGCTGTCATCCACGCGGAACGCCAGAGTTGAGCACTTGAAGCCTATTCAAGCCTCACTGGTACATGCGCGAACAGAACAGACATAGTTGCTTCTGGAGGCTGTTTGGACTCTGTGCTGACACCTGCTGGAAGTCTGGCAGAAAACAACGACACCGACACGCGGAATCATGATACGGCTCAGCAGCGCCAGGCAGTCCTTACCTCAGCTGCTCAGGGAGGTTCATTGATACACCATGAATTGCAGGCGTGAGTTCTAGCTTGTTATCCAACCTGCTTTCACTATGGCCAGCTATTCTGCTGCTATGAACTTGGGGCTGAGTTTCAGATTCAGACTCCACTTGCTTACAATGCCACTGAAGACCCTCAAAGTCCAATTTCAAGGCTGGCATCGGGCTTTCTCGGAGGGGAGCGGGATACAGCCAGCCAGGGGCGGAGAGGAGATCATGAGTAAAAAGTGAGACACTTGCACTTGCTTCAACGGTTCTCCGGGTTCTCGGAAAAACATGACTGTTCAACACCCGAGCCGTATGTTTGCTCTTGCAAGAGCTTTCGGACCATCTCAATAAGCCTTAAGGGTGTGGCGGTCGATGAACCACTGTAGTGAACGTTGATTGTCGACTTGCCCTGCAGCCTTAAGAAAAGTAGGGGAATGGATCCCTCTCAAAATCTTGACTTTGAGACCCCGATTTTGATCCCCCAAAACTAGAATCCTGAATCTGGGGACCCCACAAGGTACCCCTAAACCCTCCACCATATTGCTTAACGATGGAGGAGAACAGTGTAGAACAAGGTTTGTTAGGGTGGAAAAACGAGTGTTGCGGCAGGCTGGCACTGTCGTCGCAGTTCGCGACAACTTGCCGGGTCTTGTTTGGGGCTCAGAATTTCATAGTTTTCCGAGCTGTTGCTCATGAACGAGAGATGGTGATGGCAAACCCGTTTCATTCTGCTGCACCTTCGTGCTGCAAGGTCCAACAGCGATGTCAGCAGGGAGAACGCATCCGCGAAAAAATGCAACTGTTGAAATGCTGCAGTCCTGGAACAATGATTGAGACATGTAACCTGGCTGTAAGTCAAACAAAGAATAAGACCAGGCATCCAAGATCGCATCGAAGCCCGCCTGGATGAAGAGGTCAAGGAGAGGTTCTTTGCAGCGGCCGTCGATTGTGTTATCCGCGTGGTTTCGCGTATGCCTGCACAAATACAGCAGGACGAGCAAGAAACCCTAGCCATTTTGGGCGGCAAATCTTGACCGGCAAAAGAATTCGAATCGCCAACAGTGGCCTGTGCATCGACGTAGCTAGGTTTAGCAGGTTCGAGACATGCTTCCTTTGATAAAGGATTGCAAGTGGGTTTCTCAATCTGCAATGCAACAGCGCGTTGCAACTTTGAGGAGTGACGGTTTAGGCGCAGGGTTTTCAGTTTCACACCCATGCGCTTCCAAATCCTCCAACTTTCAATACTTGCTTGGGTTCTTTGATTGCGCGACAGCAAAATGTGCAAATTGAATCACGCATGCAATCATCAGGTGCAGCTGCAGAGGGGTCTGTTACAAGTTGATTCCAAGGACAAAACTAGACAGCGATTATCCCGAAAGCAAG